GGGCTGTAGGTCTCGGGGCAGGCTGAACACGAAGGCGTAGTTCAGGACGTAGCGCTTCAGCTCCTCGGTGGGGAAGCCCCCGGCGTGCTTCCACGCGCATTGCAGCGCCTGGCGCCAGCTGCTCATGTCCGTCGTGCGGAGGTGGCCGACGTACGGGACGGCTTCGGTGGCCTCGTGTGGGTTGCTGGTCCAGGGACAGAAGAGCAGCAGGATCTTCATGATGTGCTCCTCCTCGCTGCGGCTGCCGAGCGCACCGTAGAGGACCGGCACGTGCGGCCGCTTGCGTGGGACGATGACCCAGTCGTGGCGATGCTTCCGCACGCGGTTGCCGTTGCCCAGCGGCATCCAGTTTTCCCCGCCTTGTTCTCGGATCAGGTAGTCCGTGCCGCCCTGCAGAAGTCGACGTCCGAGTTTCTTGCCGAGCTTCTCCTTGCCTTTGTCCGTCAGCAGGGCGTGGTAGGCGATGTCGTTGTCGGCGGCTGCTTCGCGATCAGCGGCGGCGGCCTCCTCCTGCTGCTTTAGGGACCATGGATATCTGGCTGGCTGGATGTGGTAGAACCGAGCGAACTCGAAGGCCGAGAGGGGTGCACTCTGGGGTCCGTGCCGCGGTTGCCGTAGACGGTCCACAGCTGTGGCTCGGCGACGAGCTTCCTTTTGCTTTTGTTGCCGGGTCTGTCGACCCACCCACTGAGGTCGCTCTGGATCTTTGCGCGCTCTGTCGGCAGCGGCCGGCCTTCGGTGGCGGCTTGCATGAGCTCGAGGCCCATCTGGAGGGACATATCCGCGAGTGCTGCGGTCTTGATGGCTTCCGCGGCGGTGGGGTCGCTGTGGCCGGCGTTGTCGATGAGGTTGGTGCACTCCACGGAGCCTCGGACCACGCCCCGGGCGAAGGCGTCCGTCATGAGGCGCTTCGAGGCTCTGGCTCCCACGTAGCCGGCGGAGGAGTTGTTCCGCAGTTCGGTCTCCAGGTCCTTGTGGCTCTTGTTCCACTCTTGGACCTCGTTGACCGCGATGGGGTTCCGCTTGTTTTGGTAGTCGCATGCATAGCCTGCCTGCGCTGCTTGGTTCAGCTGGGCCTGGTAGGTCATCTCCCGCAGGCTGCTCTTCGTCGGGCAGTCTTGCGTGCAGCGGCCGGCGGCGTCGTGTAGGTCATCGGTGATCGGGAAGCGGTAGGGCAGCTGGACGTCGCCGTTGCAGCGCAGGGCGGCCAGCAGCGCGGGGTGGTTGCCGTTGAGGTTCGGGTCGTTGCAAGGCCCCCAGAGACGGCCGAGGGCGCTGCGCTTGCCCTTGACCGGCATGCCCATCTTTTCTGCGAGTCCCTCGCACACGAGTGTCGTGCTGTCCACCAGCTGCTTCTCGCGAGGGAAGCCTGCCTTGCACTTCGTGGGGTCTTTCTTGTCGCGGCAGTGGTCGAGCGGCAGCCGCGGACCGTTCGTCGTCTTGGGGAGGTGCACGTGATGTTGCTTCAGCTGCTGCAGGGCCTCCCCGTCCTCGTCGAGATAGAGCCGTCGCCAGGTCGTGGCGTCCGTGGACGCGTCTGTGCTCTGGTAGTGCGGGCGGCTCAGGGCCAGGTAGGAGTCGCGGTAGGCGGGCCACTGCTCCTCCGTTTCCGGGCGCTTCTTCTCCCCGGTTTGCGGGTCCCGGTAGATGGTGCGGCTGACGTGGGCCGTGTAGGTGCAGTACTTCTGGAAGAGTTCTTGCTTGCGTGCGGGACCCAGGGCCTGCAGCTCCGCGAGGGACTTGAACTGGTGGAAGCACTGGAGGAAGAGCTGCACAGGGGGCGGCGGTGGCTTCGGTGTCGCATGGCCTTTCTTTGGTTGTCTCTCATGACTGTGCCGGCGTGCCTGGAAGTGGACGTGCAGCACCCCGGACTTCTGGCTTTCGATGGACCCGAACGCGGCGTCGATGCGGCCGAAGATCCCGCCGCAGGCCATGGCGTTGCTGCCGAAGGCGTCCGCGCAGGGTGTTTTGGACTTGCTGCAATTCGGGCACTGGGGGCAGTAGCGGACGCCGAAGAGGTGGCGCAGCGCGAGCTGCACGAGGGTGCGGAAGCCGTCGGCGCAGGCCACGGGATCCTTGGTGAGCATGGCCCGGCGAGCGTCGTAGGGCGGCAGCTCGGCGGCGAGGGCTTCTGGGTTGAGGCTGTAGAACTCCACGTCCAGCTCCGGCTTGCTGCGCCCCTGGGCTCCTCGGGTGGTGGTGTCCTCTGGGCCGAGGCTGGGGTCGGACTGCCGGGCGCGGGCCAGGCGCAGCATCACCGTGCTGTCGCGCTCTGAGGGGGAGAAGGTCACGAAGATCGGGGTGCCGTGGCATATCCGATTGGCGTGGGTTTGGAGGCGCATGGTCTTGCGCACCTCGTGCGTGCCCGGGATGTTTCGACTGCGCGCCTCCGTGTTGTCCAGGACCTGACACCGCTGTCGGGCTTGCTTTGGGCACTCGTTGTAACCTGGCTCTTGGTAGCTTGCCTGCTCCGAGTGTGGCCTTCTACGGCGCGCGTCACGGCACTTGCTTGCTCTCTACGGGGTTTCAGGCGGCGAAGGATGGGAGGCTTGCACTGCGGGTGGGTCCGTGCTTTATAGGATTTTCTTTGCACGAGCTTCGAGCCTTCAGGGCTGCTTCTGAGAGCCCTGGGACGAAGCGTAGTTTGGTGAGGTCTCCGTTGATGGGCTTCAGCTGGTTGTTGATGTCGAGGTACTGGCCTCTGAGGAGCTTTTGCTGGATCTGCTTTTGCCCCTCCAGGATCTCCTTGGTGGTCAGGGCCCTGCTCTCGTGGTTCTCGTCGGCGACGCTGTAGATGAAGGCGTTCCCCTGGGTGTTCACCATGGTCCTGAAGAGGTAGTTCCAGAGGGTGAAGCCGAAGCTCCAGTCTCGCCTGAATTGGGTTTCTGCCCGGCGCTGCATGGCTGTTGCCCATTCGAAGATCTGCACTTGGGGGGCCTCCGGGTTCTTGTCTCGGCGGCGTCCTTGCGCTGACGCCCGGTTGCCGGCTGTGCTGTTGCTGTTCTGGACGTCCGGACAGGCGGTGCCGTGGGCGAAGCAGAAGCTGAAGGCCGTGGCGAAGTAGAGCGGCTGGAACTGGTCCACCAAGATGTTGCCGGTGCGCACCTCCATGGTCTCGAGGACCTTCTCGTTCTCTTCGTTGCTGCGGAGCTGGGTTTGGAGGTCGTTGAGTGCGGCCGTGGCCACGGCGTTCTGGTCCTCGCGGTCCGTGCTGCAGCCTTCCGGCACGACGGCCCGGGCTCGCTGGTCGGCGAAGATGGCGCCGGCCCGCTGCATGTCCTGCTCCGGCGCGTCCGTCGGGGCGGCGGCCTTCTGCGGCTGCAGCTTGTGGGCGGTCTCGTCGTCCTCGCTCAGGCCGGAAATGATCTTGAGTACTTCCGGCGGCACGCCGCCCTCTGGCAGCTGCGATGCTGCCTCCCGCACATCCGCCATGCGCAGGTGCTGGAACGCGGGATGCCCGAGGCGCTGCATGTCGTGGATGAGGTTCACGACTACGTCTCTCCGCACGGTGGCCTTGTGGAGCAGCGTCTTGATCTCGGTCTCGCTCGTCTTGCCCGTTTTGTTCGTCTTGAGGAGCACCCTCGCGACCTCGGCGAGCGCCTTGCCTGTGCGCTGCAGGCTGGGGGGTGCTGCCGCTCCCGCTTGGTCCTGCTCCGCAACTTCTGCGTGGTGTGCCTCTAGGTTGCGCAGGAGGTCTTCCCATGGGAGGGGAAAGGTGAGGGCGTTGCCGCGCGCGCCCAGGCGGTGACGGGCGTTCTGGGCTTTTTCGTCTAAGGTGGTCCCTTCGCTGCGGTGCCGCGCTTCCATGGACATGCCCACCAGGGTCGTCACGCAGGGGCTTGCGCAGATCATTTCCATCACTGTGACCTTCTCTTCGTGCAGGCGCGCCGGGGAGTAGCCTGTCCACATGTCATTGCACAAGCTCAGGGGCGGCAGCTGGCCGTTGTCCAAGTGTTGCGCGCAGTCGCGGCAGAGGGGCACCTCGCATTGCTCGCAGAGCGTGTGCTGGCTTGGGTGCTGGGGATTGGCGTGGCAGCGGTGGTCTTCTGGGCAGCAGAGTATGTCGCCGAGCCCGGGGATGGTCACGGTCCACTCGTTCAGCTCGGCCACGTCGGTGAGCTTGACGTCCCCGGCCAGGTCGTCGTAGAGCCCCGGGTACTTGTCGATGCTCAGGATGTCGTGCAGACGTTCGGTTGTCTCGGCGTGGGTCCTGTCGTTGCTGGGGGGACCCTGGATGAGCCTGCGCCAGCGGATGGGGCCCGCGGCCTCGGCGTCGGCCACGCGTGTGTGGATGCCTGCGCAGCAGAAGCAAATGATCGCTTCCACCCTGTCTTTGCTGGTGGCTTCGGCGAAGCTCCGCAGCGCGCTTCTGTCTCGCGAGCTTCCTGCCACGGGTGCGGCCTCTCTGCACCGCAGGGCTATGGCTTCGTTGTAGACGCTGGCCAGTGCATCGGCCGGGATTGGCTTGGGTAGGTGCTGTGCGACGCTCTGCAGTGCTGTTGCGTGCTCTTGCTGGACGTGCGCTCGAAGCTCTTGCTCGGTGCCCGTAAGCAATGACCAGTTGCAGCTCTGGAAGGCGCAGAACTGTCCTGGCCAGGGTTCCCCACGGTCGAGGTCTTCGGGCTTGGCTCCGGGCGGTATCAGCGGCTGGGCTCGCAGCTGGGTGTGTGCGAGGTGCCGGAGAGCCTCTTCCAGTTTCCGCCGGGGGTGGCTGCTGTCCGGCGCCATGGGCATGCTGGTGAGCTCTTCCAGGAGGTTGGGCTCGTCCTGCGCCTCTGGCTCGGGCGGTCGTGTCGCCGGCTTCGACGGCGTCTTGCGCGCCTGTGCCTGTTGATGGGCCTCCTCTCCGCCGGCGGCGGTTCTTCTGCGCTTGGCTGGGCGCGGAATCGGGTGGGGTGGTGGGGGTGGTGGTGGTGGTGGCAGTGGTGGTGCTGGTGGCGGTGCTCGGTCTATGGGCACCAGGAGGTCGTAGTGGTCCCTGCCGTTGTACCAGAGATGGATCACTTCCGTGGCGTTCGGTGCTGCGTGCGGCCCGCGTTGGGCTGCTTTTCGTCCACGTCCGAGTGCGTGCGCTCGCTCGTGAGGATGTCGCCGTTTGGCGTCCGGCAGTGCAAAAGGACTCGCTGCTGCCTCATGCGGGTGAAAGCGATGATGGCCGTGTCGCCGCCCCAGTGACCCGGATCGCTTTGGAGGTATTGGCTTTCCTGTAGCCGGGCCTGCACTTGCTCTTCGTCTTCTTCGGCTTCTGCGTTCTCTCTGAGGTACTGGATGATTAGGGCTCGGAGGCATGCCCCGCTCTCGCCGGTGTTCTCTCCGAGAGCGTGGAAGAGGCAGTTGCCGTCGCCTGACATCTTCTTGATGGCCAGCATGCCCCGAAAGTGCTCCTCTCGGGTGCATTGTCTGCTTGCCTAAAGAGCGCTCTTGACAGTGGATGCTCGAGGGAAAACGCCGGCCTCGACGCTGGGTCCGGGCTCCGTGTCGTGGTCGGAGCCCGCCTCTGCCCCCCCTCGTCGCGCGGCCGGTCCTTCGTGAGATGGTTCAGCGGCATTCCTTGCGAGCTTTGCCGCTTCCACGGCTTCGTTTCTTGGCGGTGTTGCCTCGTCGGCTCTGTCGGCCTGTGCACACAGTGGGACTAGACGCTTGCCGGGGGAGGTGTTGTGCGCCTTTGGGGTGTAGCTTCTCTCCGGTGCCTCTGCTCGCTGGAAAGCACGATCCAGGGCTCTCTCGTCGTCGGCCGTCCATCGTGGCTGGCGCGGCAGTGGCTTTTTGGGGGCCTGCAGGTCCCGATGCCGCGTACGGCTTGCTTTCTTTTTTCTATGGCTTTTCTCGTGGCACAAGTCCTTACTTGCATTCCGGCCGTGATGCCTTCTTCCGTCGGGGTGTTCTTGGCTTCGCGCCGGAGGGCGGGGTCGTGTCCCGTCGAGGTGCGGTTGTCGGGGAGGTTTTCCATGCCTCGTGCGTGCATGCCCGTGTGCTTTCCTGGGATTTCTGAGGGCGACGGCACGAGGTGTCAGCGCGCCTCGTCGATCTTGATTGTTCCGCCCTCGGCCGGTGGGTTCGGTTCGCAGTTGCGCGACATACATGCGTGTATACACGGGTTCTCTCTTCGGAGGCTCTGGGGCATGCACGGGCGTCAGAAGTGTCAGGCTGCATCTCCTCGCCAGGTAGTCCTTCTTGAACGCTTCGAACTCCCAGCCGGTCGCCTCGTGGTTCGGTGCGCTGAGGCCGTTGAGTTTTCAGGCGGGGTCGGGCCGTCTGCGCGTGTCGCATGCGATCCCGCCTGATCGTCGTCGTCTGTCATGTCGGCCCACCGTCGGCTGCTTTCGGGCTGCATGATGGCTTCACCTGCACGGGCGGGGGAGCGAACCGTGCCTTCTCTTTCTCTCTTACTGTCGGAAGCAGCTTCGGCCTAGATGGTTCTTCAGGAAGCGGATCTCTGCTTTTGAGGCTCGATCACGAATTGGGCTGCGGTGCCGGGTTAAGGTTGGTGTGCTCTTGCTGCAGGCACGATGTCAGCGTCGTTGGCTTGCTGCTTGCAGCCGACTCTCCTTTTTCGCTTCTGCTGCTGTGGCTGCAAGGCGCGGTGCTCCTTCGCGGCCGGCGCACGGCAGAGGTTGTGTGAAACGAACGACTCTTTCCTAGCTCTGTGCTGTCAGCATGCCTCACGTGTTATGGGCAATGACTTCCGTGATCAGTGGCCCGTCTAACGTCGTGCGCACTGCTTGGTTGCGGCTCCGCAGGCGGCCCTGGGCTGCCGCTGCTAGAGCAGCGGATGTAGCAAGCTCTTCCAGCTCCGGCAAAGGGTTCGACATGCCGGCGATTCGCAGCAGCTCTTCGCCGGCCACCGTGGTGAACACCATGTCAACAGCATTTTGCGGGACGGGGGTTAAGCTGCAGGTGACGACCAAGGGTGAGGGCACTTCGCGGACGTAGACCTTTCCGGCAGGATAACTGATCCAAGTATCATAGTCCAGCTCCTCAGCCTCGAACACAGCAACCTGGGCATCTGCTGGATGCCACTGGACGAATCGGCACCGCAGTCTCTCCACGTAATCGGTGGAAAAGAAGAGCAGATGCCATCGAGGAGCTGCTTCAGTGGTAAAGGCCGCACCGTCCGAGTCAATCAATGACCACGAGCCAGGACCGCCTTGCAGACGCCGGCTCCACTCCAGACGGCGGCCCTCCATCTAGTTAGTGGGTGCTCTGAAGGAAAGGACATGCGAACTTTGAAGCTGCAAGATACTGCTGCGGAACACAGGATGCAATGCTCAAGCAGCATCTGCAAGACTGGAAGCTACAGGCTTCGACCTTCACACCTAGAAATACTCGTGAACGATGCTCGGGCCGAGCGTGTTTTCACACCTGCGGTTGTTGCCTTCCTTGTGAAACATCCCCAGCTGTATTTCGGCTGAAATACGGTATGTCTCTACCTGGAACAAAGAGGGAGCTTGCCAAATGGATTTCCTTCATAAAATGGACGGGAATAAAGATTGCCAGGTGGTTCGCGGGCTCCCAAGCCGGTTTCCTTCATAAACTGGACGGTGGTGAGGGTTGTCAAGTGATTCGCAAGCTCTCCAAGCCGATTTCCTTCGTAAAATGGACGAGGATACAGATTGTCAGGTGGTGGGCGGGCTTTTCAACTGGACTCCGGAGGTCCTCGCGTAGTTGTACCTTGGCATTGGAAGTGAATCAACGTAAAAATAAAGCAAATATGGCCTTGTCTAGTTGCTGTCAAGATGCGACCAAAGCTGTACCTTGGCTGCGGACATGTACATGAAGTCTGATTGCAGCCAAATTGCATTCCAAGGTGGTATACCTTGGCTGTGACGTGATGAATCAATGCATGTGCGGGAATGTATGATGGTATGATGAAGCGTGAAGGTCTTTGAAGGCACCCCTTACCAGTGATATAGGAGGCTCATCTTGCATCTGCAGGGGCTCTCATCGCGGATGTATCTTCCTTAGGTCTTGGCTGGCAGCTTGGTTTGGAGCGTACCTGACGTACGACATGGAAGGGAAACTGCGAGCTTGCATGCGTGCAATTGCAGCTTAGTGGCCGTTTCTCATTGCCGTCCCTCTGGTAGTGCCTCGGCAGCGGCACAAAAAGGTCGGGATGCCAAGCTGACGTGGACATGTACGTGTCTGATTGCAGCCAAGTTGCATTCCAAGGTGGCATACCTTGGCTGGGACGTGCTGAATGAAAGCGTGTGTGTGAAAATATGATGGTATGATGAAGTGTGAAGGTCTTTGAATGCACCCCCCAGCATACTTAGCCTGGGATGGCCCAAGAGGTTTTCCTTCTAACGCCCCAATAAGCGAAACAATTCTGCAAGAGGTTTTTTCGTCTAACGCCCCAATAAGCGAAACAATTCTGCAAGAGGTTTTCATTCCTGAAGCCCCAATAAGCGAAGCAATTCTGCCAGAGAATTTGGCTCCTAACGCCCCAATAAGCGAAACAATTCTGCAAGAGGTTTTCCTTCCTAACGCCCCAATAAGCGAAACAATTCTCCAAGAGGTTTTCATTCCCAAAGCCCCAATAAGCGAGGCAATTCTGCCAGACTAACCCTTGAAAACTCCCTGAAAGGCTTGTGCTGACTCGAGGTTTGCGTCTAGATTCTAGATGCAGTCTGGAGGCGGCTCTCGCCTCATCTGACCGCGCCTTGGCTTCGGCAGGGAAATTGATGCAAGCATGACGCAAGCATGACGCAAGCACGCTCTAGACGTGGACAGGTTTGATTGCAGCCGAGTTGCGACCACCAGAGCAATGCCTGGGCGAGCACATGTTGAGTTAACATATATGTTGATGATGGCCGTGGACATGCACGTGTTTAATTGCAGCCGAGTCGCTGCACCAAAAATCAGTCCTTGGCTTGGACATGTTCAGTGAATGCATGCGTGGGAAGTAGAAGCTGTGAAAGGTCTTCGAGGCACCCCCCAGCTACTTAGTACTGGGATGGGCCCGTATTTGCGCCTTATAAGAAGAAATGGTCCCGCAGCACACGCTCCCTGCTTCCCCGATTTTTTTCTGGTCGGAGTTGAAACATCCTTCGCCGCATATGTGTTCACTCGATTTGGAGATAGATCGATCCCCGGTAAGTAACGCCGCACCCGCGAGCGCGAGTACACACACGCGTTCCCTTGACAGGCTCATGGGAAAGCCCCTTGTCCCTGTGGCACTGATGGAAAAACAAACCCTCCTCGCGCAAGGAGCCGTGGCCACATCCCAAAAGTAAATGAACCGTGTCCTACTTTTGGAATTGCCTCAAGGAAGTCACGCCTCGTCTCTTTGTGGTAGGTTTGGGAGGCCGCTTCGCTAGCGAACTGGCGCGTACAGCAGTCGCTGTAGTTCAACGCCATTGCTAGCTTCCAAAAGACAGTTAGCATGTCCCCTTAGGGGGCGAGCGGAGGGTCCCAAAAGCCCATTGTGTGTACGGTTCGGGTTCGGCGTTTTCGGTGCTTGGCTGCCACTTGCCAGGCCTCATAAATTGCCGGCAGGTGGCAATCCTAAGGGGTGTAGATTGTCAGAAGGTGGCAATCCTGGTGGGGGGGGGGGGCTAGATTGCCAACAGGTGGCAATCACCCCCGCGTTTTTGGTGCTTAGCTGCCACTTGCCAGGCCTAATGGATTGCCGACAGGTGGCAATCTTAGTGGGTCTAGATTGTCGGAAGGCGGCAATCGTAGCGGGGTACAGATTGTCAACAGGTGGCAATCACAGGGGATTTAGATTGTCAGCAGGTGGCAATCTTAGGGAGTACAGATTGCCAACAGGTGGCAATTCTTAAGGGGTACCAGATTGCCAACAGGTGGCAAAATCAACAGGGGATCCTAAATTGTCAGCAGTGCAAATCTTTAGGGGGGACAGATTGCCAACAGGTGGCAATCTTAAGGGGGTACAGATTGCCAATAGGTGGCAATCGTGGTGGGGGTTGGTGGAAAAGGGGCGGATGGCTGTCACACTCCCTTGCTGGCCGGTTGCCCCTTTGGATTGTCAGCAGGTGGCAATCTTCAGGGCTTCAGATTGTCAGCTGGTGGCAATCTGGGTGGAGCTGGGTGGAAAGGGGGCGGATGGCT